TAAATCTATAATTAGTGGTATTTTTGTAAATAGACACCCCTAAGTGGCATTCTTGCAAATGTGCACACAAAAAGTGGCATTTTTGTAATTGCTCCATAATATTTTGCCTTTCTATAATAAGATTTTTGTGCATTCTAAATCTTTTCACCAAAAATTTTCAAACTTCAATAATCATCACATAAATAATGTATACTCAACCCAAGAAAAACGTTAATTATTTAACTTTAGACCAGTTAAATAAAAACGTGTTTATCGCCGTACTGTAGTACGTCTTATCAGAAAGTGGGAGGCGATAAATTTAAAGAAAAATAATGAGTTTATAGGAATAGACTTTCTATTACTTGATGAAAAAGTTAGTGTATTTGTATTTAAAACCAGTAAGAGTTTTCATTCGTTAATAATTACTTGATCAATGTCTAACTATAAGTTGATTTTAATTTAATGCAGAAAAATACTATCCAAGGCTCTGTGCATTATTCGCTTCTTGCAAAATTTGGGAATTAATTAAAATTGTTGTTCCAAGCACGTAACTGTTGTTTACAATTTACATCATACTTTTTTTTTATTGTCCGTGTATTTTAAAAGTTGTTATGATCTAATCTTGATCTATTGCATATGTGCAAAAGTATTAAATAACATTTTTGGCCAATTTACTTTTACGTTTATCATTTTATATTCACTTTATTTGGACAACACTCCTTCATGAATAGGGGCCTCCTCGATAAAATTATTTTCATAACTATTAAGAGAGAAAAAAACCACTATTACGAGAAAAAATAATGATGTAGTAGGCATTAGTTAAGTTTGAATCGTTTTATATTTATCCTCATTTACGTCCATTTTTATTTATCTTACTCTTAATATAAATCATTTTATACTCACTCCTTGAAAAGAAATATTCCATTTAATTTTTTTCTATAATTTTTTCTATGTATTACACAAAAATTTATTTGACATATACNATTTAATTTTTTCGACAACAATAATTCAAATGACAAACCCATGCAACGCACGAGTCATTTACTTAGTTTAATATAAATTACATTGGTTTTAAAAAAAATTATGTGGGTCGTCAAGTGACCCCTCTCCTAGTAAGCTACCTCCGCCACGCATATGTTTCACATGTCCTTAAGTGTATTTGGAAAACAAAACAAAACCACCTATTAACAGAAGTCCTATTCGAATAATATATGAAGAATAAAGGAATGTTAAGACTTAAAATATCCAAACGAAAAATATTTGATAGAAAAAAAATTGGAAAGTAAGCAAAGTCAATTTTGAAATGGAACTTGCAGTACATTATCTCTAGTGTATACCAAAAAAAAAAAACATTTTCATGATCGATTTGGGAGTTGGGACAATAATCAAATCCTATCCAATTTGGGAACAGGATCATGTCTATATAAAAAGAGAACCTCTAAACTCTAAAAAGCTCACAA